GGAGCAGTCGGCCTCGCCCCGCCCAGGCTCCGCCCCCAGCGCGGCTTTTAAGCTCTTAAAGTTCCTCTTTCGCACCTCCGAGTCTTAGTTTCACCACTTGAACTTGGAACCCACTGCTGCCCTCGGCTCCGAGTCCAGGGCAAGGTAAGACCTGGGGTCGGGCAGGAGCACAAATGTGAGGCTGGCGGGACAGAGAACCTGGAGGGAGAGGCCAGAGGTCCCGGGGACCGTCCCGAGGACAGCGCCGGGGACCCCAGCTTCTGCGCCGGGAGAAAGCACGCTCCCCTTGAGGGAGTCCGATGCCCACCCGTGTTCCGGGCCCAAGGTTTTGTGCGGGCTCTGCAGAGGGACCCCGGCCACTGCCCGAGCACCTCTGCTGGCTCTCCCTGCTCCCGTGTCCCCACTATTCTGCGGGTCCGCCCAGCGCGGGCCGGGGCGAGGTGCTGGCACACGCTGGACCAGATGGGAGACTCTCAGGGCCCCAGGGGCGGCCGAGACGGGGCCGTCGAAGGCACTCGCACAGGGGAGCGGGCTTTCCTGCGGGGGACAGCCCCTTCCTTCTGAGGCTCCTTCTGCTCGTTTGTTCGTAAGGGACCCGAACTCACCGCGACCTCCGGCGCGTGTTTCCCTGGCTGGTGGTGAAGGAGGAGGAGCTCCAAATTTGGGCACCGGGGACTGCGCTCGGCTGCCTCAACCCGGCCCTCCCCGGCCTCTCGCCCTCCCTTGCGCCCTCCCCACCTCCACCTCCGCCAGCCTCCAGGGCCGGGCTGACACTTCCCGCGCGCCCAGGGTGTCCCCCGCTACTTGGCTGCGCTCCTCGCCAAGGGCCGGGCCACTGCTGTGTGTTGCCCCCAGGGCCCATTTGATCCTTACTCTCCGGCGAGGGCTCAGGGGCATTTGGGACAAAGAGCACGGGCGCGGGAGAAGGAAGGCCAGGAGACGCTGCTGGGTGCTGAGCATCTGGGACGCCCGGCCGCAGGCTGGCCTTCGTGCGCCACCCAGGAAGTGTGAAACGGGGAATGGGCAGGAGTGGAAACTGACAGTGAGGGGGAATGGGCTGATACTAGCTTCGGGATGGGCAAAGAGGAGCGGGAACCGTTAGTGAGCGTGCCAACGGAGTTCCAAGAAGGGTGGTGGCTGGGTCTGGGAGTGTGAGCAAAGGCTGGAGTGTGTGTATGGGCTGTGGGGTGCGAAACAAGAATGGAGAGTCTAAAGGTGGGATAGGAAGACAGACTCCGCGGAGGGTGCGCTTGGGAGGAGGCAGGCTTCTGCCGGCCAAGGGGACCAGCCCCGGCAGCTGAGAAGGTGTCTTCTCTCTGGGAGCTGTGATGACACCGACCTCATAGCGCGCGCCTTGCTGCCCCGGAGTCCCTGGGCCTCGTGGTCACTGCCACGGTGGTTTGGGATCGGTGCCCTGAGCGCTGTGCCGCGGTGCTTTAGGGAGGCTCTCCTCTCACCTGCAGCGCGGAGAGTGCAGGAGGCAGATCCTGGGCGCGAGAGCAGGACCGTCGGCGCACTGGGCATGAACCTGGAGGGCGGTGGCAGCCGAGGCGGAGAGTTCGGCATGAGCTCTGTGAGCTGTGGCAACGGGAAACTCCGCCAGTGGCTGATCGACCAGATCGACAGCGGCAAGTACCCGGGGCTGGTGTGGGAGAACGAGGAGAAGAGCATCTTCCGCATCCCCTGGAAGCACGCGGGCAAGCAGGACTACAACCGCGAGGAGGACGCCGCCCTCTTCAAGGTTACACGCACGTGGGGAACCCGCGGTCGGGATGGGGGGAGGGCCCCAGAGAGCCGACGGGTCCCGAGCCCGGGCTCTTCGGTGAGCCCAGCCCCTGCGGGGTGCTCCCCGGCCCGAGGTTCAAAGAGGGAAGGGTAACCCACCGGGACCCACGAGATGGGGTGGTCGCAGCAGGGCGGGCGGCCCGGGAGCAACAGGTGTGGATGGGCCAAAGCCCTGGAGAAGAGAAGTTTCAACTTCTCTAGTGTTTTCACAAACGGGAGGGCCGGTCCGATTCTGAGCGTGTGGCTTGAGCAGCAAGCACTCAGGGAGTCAGAAGGCTCCAGCGGCAGGGAAGTACCGGAGGCTCAGTCAGGGGACGCCTGCCTTCCCAGGACAGTAGCTGGAGTGTTCTTGGCTGCATTTTTGTGGGTTTCTCTGTTTCCATCGGAGCCGCTTCCTGTACTCCTGGGTCTTTCCTTGCCTCCTCTAATCACCTTGTGCTTCTCTCTGTCTCTCTGTCTTTGTGAGCGCTCGTGGGTGTGCTGGTCACTCCCCCACCCCGCAACTGTTTACATGTTTCACTGTTTTTGCTATTTGTCTCTCTCCGATTTTTTTTTCTTTGATTCAATCCCTCTCTGGCACAGACACTCTCTGGTTCCGTCTCTCTTTGGGCCCCTCCATCCCTATCTCTCCCTCTATTTCTCTGCCTGTTTGCCAGACTCCCTCTTTCCAAGTCTCTCTGTCTCTCTCTCTCTCTCTCTCTCTCTCTCTCTCTCTCTCTCTCTCCCTCTCTCTTTCCTCAGTTGTTCTCTAGGTTTCTGTCTTTCTTCCTCTGCCTCTTCTCTTCCCACCCTCTTGGGTTCTCTCTTTCTCTTTCTCCTCTAAATATTTCTCTTCTTTCAGGATCTTTGTTTTGGGCCCCTCTCTGGGTCTCCCTCTTGCTGCCTATGTGCATGTGCGTCCCTGTCAGGATTGTTTTCTCCTGGAGCAGTTACCCAGTGAGCTTTGCCTTAGGGCCCAGCCCCACCACCTGTAGGGTGCACAGGTAAAGGGGACTTCCTCAGGGAATTTGCTCTCAGAATACCTCAAACTGGCTGACAGCTCACCACACAGCTCTGTCCCTAGTTCCAATCAAACCCACTGTGGAACTGGGTGAACAGGTCCTTTTCCAGGGATCCTCCACATCTTACCCACCTGTCACAAATACTTAGAGAATGTTCCCACCACTTGTCTTCAAATTCCTTTGGAATTGCAATTTCCAGATTCTTTTTAAAAAGACCTTGTATTTTAACTTTTCCCCTCTTCTTTCCCACCAGGCTTGGGCGCTATTTAAAGGAAAATTCCGAGAAGGCATTGACAAGCCAGACCCTCCCACGTGGAAGACACGTTTACGGTGTGCTTTGAACAAGAGCAATGACTTTGAGGAACTGGTTGAGAGGAGCCAGCTGGACATCTCAGACCCCTACAAAGTATACAGGATTGTTCCTGAGGGAGCCAAAAAAGGTGGGACTTCCTCGATCTGCGTCACGGGATATTGGCAGTCTGACACTTGTAGCATCTTAAGTTCATTCTGAAGCTCACTTTTCTATTTTTGTTTTCAATAGCTTGCCGGCCATCTGCCCCATGGTCAAGCCCAGCAGGTTCATTCTCTGAGTTCTCTGGGTCACTAATTGCAAGTCCTGCAGTTTTAGTGCAGGATACGCTCTCACACTCCACGTCTACAACTGCGTGTGTGCATGTGTGTATTTTTTAGTTAGGTCTATTAAGTTATGGGCTAAATTTCCAAACCAGAAAATGGAGAACTTGTTCAAAGCTGTACTTATTAGTTTTTCATAATTAACCTTTCACAGAAGGAAGCATTCATACATTCATATATTGCTACTATTTATATTAATAAAAATGTCAACTTTTAGGATACACTATGGTCAGCTGGGCTGCTTATTCAAATTCAGACTCCCTCTTTCCAACCTTCTGACAGTGTGTCAGAGTAGAGCCCAGGAGTCTGCATTGTAACACACCATACAAGTGACCTTTTTGCAGCACGTTTTGCTGGTGGGGCCATTTCTGTCACCAGGTGCCTTCACACACAGCAGGACCTTGTAGAAATCAGTTTAATGGAATGGTCAAACAATGGCCCAAGGGAATTGCTGGAAAATGTCTAATTTGTCAACAGTCTAATTAGTCAAATGTCTAATTTGTCTAATTTGCGCATTCTAGGAATTAAATCCTCAGATATCTTTTCTAAGATTTGATGTTTAGTTATGTCAGTTCCCTTTTTTTTACGTTGTGCCATTTCCCTTTTGCAAAAACATACAGGAGCAAAGCAGCTCACCCTAGAGGATCCACAGATGACCATGAGCCACCCCTATACCATGCCGACTCCTTACACCTCACTCCCAGCGCAGGTACCGTGGAGGTGCAGGGCTCTGGAAGGGAAGGCTGGGGAGAACACACAGAAAAAGCATCATAAGCTTGTTTCTGTTATCAATCAAACAGCTAAACAAAATCCCTGGGCATTGAATGAATGCCTCACTTTCCACAGTGAGCTCTCGGGGTTGGTTGGAAGGAGGGGAGGACTGCATGTGTCTGCCTATTGGTGTAGACTTCCACTACCGATTCTGAAACCTTCTGGGAAACAGACCTATTGTGGAAGTTGATGGTTTTGGTACTACTTTATATCATGTGAAACCACGGGGCAGCTGATCTCTTTAGACATTTCTGATGTGAATTACAGCTTTGTGGTCTTCACTTTGGTGGGGAAGAGAAGGCAAATTTCCTTACGGGACTTTTGGCACCAGGTTTAACCATATTATAGAGCTTTACATATGTCATTACTTTATATCACTGTCTCCATTATGCTTTCTTGATTCTTTATGGATAGTTTTCACCTAGTGCAGCGATTCTCAACCTGTGGGTCGCGACCCCTTTGGTGGTCGAATGATCCTTTCACAGGGGTCACCTAAGACCATCCTGCATATCAGATATTTACATTACGATTCATAACAGTAGCAACATTACAGTTATGAAGTAGCAACAAAAATAATTTTATGGTTGGGTCACAACATGAGGAACTGTATTTAAAGGGCCAGAAGGCCGAGAACCACTGACCTAGTGTGATGAGCCATTCACTCTAAGGTCTTTCAGATGATAAAACGATTTGGCTGCCCACCAAATAAAAGATTGCCTGAGGAGTTGGGGAGGATATGAAAGAATCTGCTTCTCTTTCCAATGCCTACGAACTGTTCTTTGCTGATCTGGGTGCTTTCATCTCTTTAGCAGGTCCATAACTACATGATGCCACCTCACGACCGAAGCTGGAGGGAGTACGTCCCTGACCAGCCCCACCCTGACATCCCTTATCAATGTCCTGTGACCTTTGGACCTCGAAGCCACCACTGGCAAGGCCCAGCTTGTGAAAATGGTGAGGACCGTGCTGGGGCAGGTTGCTGTGGCTGCCACTGACCCAGCAGAGTGCACCTTGGCGAACGGGCCCTGGTCTCTCCTGCTCTGTCCTTCTGGGTGGACCACAACTCTCTCCCTTTATCAGAACTGCTGGGGAAGACATCACACATTGAATGAGGGTGTTCCCTCTCCTGTGGGGTGGTAAGGTCCTAGGAGGAAGGATGCCAAATGTTATAGATGCCTGGCCTACTGTGTGCCAGGACTTATGCTTACAACTACCTTATGAGAGATCTTATTTGAACATCAGGGAGATGATGTCAGATAGCTAAAAACTGCTCCGTTTTTTATAGAGGCAAGCTCACAGAATGTACTCTATAAAAGTGAAGGGCTGGGATTCAGTTTCAGATGTCAAACTGACTAGCTATGTTTTTTAAATTACCTGTTCAAAAGGTTGATATTTTTTATCCTTGCCAAATAATCTTAAGCTTTATTTTTAACCCTCAGGGAGAAAAAAAAAAAAAGAGTAGATTTTAGCAGCCTTTCCTCCTGGATTTTCCCTTAATATTGACTGAAGGCCACAAAATTTTACTAATCTGTTTCTGTCTACACATCTGTAAAATGGGTTTATTCCAGTTCTGCGCAGTCCCTCTCTCCACAGGGGCACCAGTAGATTATTGAGCTAGTATATTTCACTTAAACAATGTTGTACCATTGTAGTTGCTCTTGGGATTAGAGGTGATAGTAAGGGAATAAAGAAATAAGTAACATAACAGTCTCCACAGGGTGTGTAGTGCTGGTTTTGGATCCCAAAAGACTTTACTCATTCTAGATGAGCTATAATTCCATGCCTGTAAGGTCCCCAGACATCAAGATGAGCTCTCTCAGCAGAAGCACTAGTTAAGTGAAGAGAAAATTTCATATGATGTATTCAATACAGCAAACACAAGCTTTTAGAATTTTAAAAAAGTTATTGGTTGATTTGAGAGAGAGAGGAAGTGGGGGAGACAAAGAGAGAGTGAGAGAGAGAAACATTGATTTTGTTGATCCATTTATATATGCATTCATTGCCTGATTCTTGTATGTGCTCTGACCAGAAACGGAACCCACAACGTTGGTGTATTGAGATGACACTCTAACCAACTGAGCTATCTGGCCAGGACCAGGCTTTTAGAATTTTGAGTTAGCTATTTAAATAGAAATCTTGAAATGGATCAGCACACAGATTCTTTTGTATGTTCTGGAACTACTTGGTCAGTCCCTATTTTTCTAGTCTGTTCAGACCTCTCAGCGAATGGCATTGAAGAAGTTTAAGATCTGTATTGAGTAACATATTTACAGAAGAACTCAGAATTCCATTTTATTAGCTTTTAAGAATTACTTCGGCAAGGGTTGGTTTTCTAGATCACAGTGGAAGATTAGCTAACATGAAACTGTCTCTGGAATTCAGACCTATGTCCAGTGTATCAGGCTCTGTTGAATTAATAACTTCAATAAGGAGACAATGCCCAGAGCTACGCAGAAAGGCAGGTAGGCAAGCATAAATTGAAGCATTCGTTGACATTAAATAAAGTGCAGCTTCTAACTGGGCTCTTTGACGTGAGAACTCGTGTAGACCTGAGCTCACAGTTCTGCTGTGAACGTGCTGTGTGAACAGGGCTAAATCAGTTCATCTCTCTGAGTCTCAGTTTCCCTGTTTATCAGTTATGGAGGGATGTGGTCAAAGGGTACAAACTCCCAATTATAAGATGAGTAAGTTCTGGGGATCTAATGTATAGCGTGGTGACTATTTAGCAATGCTGTATGATACTGAAAGTTGCTAAAAGAGCAGATCTTAAGTGTTCTCACCACACACACACACACACACACACACACATAATGGTAATTATGTGTGGTGATGAAGGTGATAACTAACAGAAAGAAAGAAAGGAAGGAAGAAGGAAAGAAGGAATGAAGAAAAAGGAAGGGAAGGGAAGGAAAGGGAGGGGAGGGGTGGAAAGGAAAGGAAAGGAAAGGAAAGGAAAGGAAAGGAAAGGAAAGGAAAGGAAAGGAAAGGGAAGGAAAGGAAAGGAAAGGAAAGGAAAGGAAAGGAAAGGAAAGGAGACAGAAGAAAATTACTGCAGGAGAGTTCCAAGTTCCTTCCAAAGCTGTGAAAGGCTCCTTCCTCCTTCGACTTTAGTTTTTCCCATTGGACTTGAGCTTGTCTTGGCCTTTTGGGAGAGCCAGAGGTCAGCTCCAAAGGGCCCTGAAGCCCTTCCCTCCCAGGATTGGTGCACCCCCACCAGGGGCTAATAGTCACACCTCAGGAGAGGAGGCCTTCCTATTTGTGTACAAACTCTGACTTTTATTTACAAATACAGGTTGCCAGGTGACAGGAACCTTTTATGCTTGTGCCCCACCTGAGTCCCAGGCCCCTGGAATCCCCATTGAGCCAAGCATAAGGTCTGCCGAAGCCTTGGCCCTCTCAGGTGAGTGTGGCTTACGGTCTGGAGGCACCCAAGGGAAGCTGGTGCCTACAGTGCTCACCTCACTTTTGGGTAGATTTGATGGGGAGGTTGGTGAGCACAGCCCACGGGCCCTCGTTTTCCTCCAGCTGGTGCCCGCATGTGTGTGGACACTCCTGACTCCCCACCTTGTGGGTGAGGAACATTAGAAAAGTTAGCACCAAAAAGACAGTGTAGGATTCTGATGCAATTCTACATGCTGGATGAGTCATTTTATGTTCTTCATTGGCATCTATCTGAATTTCCTAGAATATGCAAACACCCCGGTTTCATTTACCTGGCCCCTCTTCAGCTAACAGCCTCACAATGTAGTATACCTTCTTAGAAAAAAGCATCAGGGCTTCTCATCTTGAAAAGCTGATCATCCTTCCAGGTTTAGCCACAAACAGTGTTCTCATCAGCTTCCCGGGGACGCTAGTTCTGGCTGCTTGCCTTCATCACAGTTGCATGCATATTGAGGCCTTCCTCTGAACTGAGATATGTTTTGCAGAAAATACGGCTTAGATTTGATTTTCAAGGTTTCATTTCTAAAAGAGTCCTGGCACCTTGGAGATGCCACCTGTTTAAGGGAGGGACCTCAAAGTGTACTAACTATGCGGTGTGTGCATGTTTATTTTTTAGGTAATGTGTTGCATTGTTTTAAAATGAGATTTGTTTTTACATTAAAAAATGTAAAGCTTAAGTTTCCAGGTTCTCCTCTGCTCCCCTCGCGCTCTAAAAATCAGTGACAGAATCAGTCAAATTCTCAAGGTTTCAGGGAGACGAATTATGGGCACCTTTCTCTCTGCAAGGGGAGCTGGAGTTTTTGTGATTTCACCCTTTTTGGTTCCAAAGTTCTGAATGAGGCTGCTGCCTTCTTCCTAGATGTTCCTAAATGATGGAGGAAGGAGATTTTCCAAGTAGAAGGGCTTGTGTTTGTTTTTAGAAACTTTCAAATGCTTTCTTAAGCACCTACAACTTGTGTGGGTACCTGAAGAGTAGGAAATAACAGCTATTTGTATCGCTGTGACCTTGTGATTTTTGATGACATATAATGAAATGAAACCTACCCTGCAAGTCACCTCTAATGGCCAACGCCCACTCTCCTCAGGGTATGCTCTCCCAGCTCACTCTCCGCCAACGTTTACAACAGCAGAAATTGAAGTGGAGAATTGAGACATTACGTGGGTTAAGTCTCAAAACCTGACATTGAGGAATAGGAGGGTTTTGTGGGTTTCTGTTTTTGGAATGCATAAGACAGATTTATTACTTGAATGCATTTATTAGACAACTGCAATTATCATTCCTTTTAAACCCATACATTTGCACAAGGGTAGCCGATGCCTATCCACAAAGTCCTTGTGCTTCATTAAGGGGCCCTTTGCCATCCTAGGTTGGTCCTTTCAGTCTGTGGGTCATAAGTCAAAGAAAGTTCTGGAATCAGCAAAATTTTATAACTGAGTTCATCTTGTTTAATGTTTTAGAAAGCACCCTTTTGGAATTATTTTCAAACTTAAATATGTAGCCTAGTGGGATTTCAGCAGACTTTACTCTGAGAACATTTGTCTTATTGAGTCCTTTCTTTCCACATCAATTAATTTTATTTTACAAGTAGTACATATGCTGTGAAAAAAACTAATTTAAAAATCAGAAAAGCAAAAATGAAAAAGAAACATCACATTCTCAGTACCCAGAGATCACCATTGTTAACTTAGTGTTTAGCCTTCCTGAAACTTCAGAGTGTGTGTGTGTGTGTGTATGTGTTAACCTAATGGCATCACATTGATCCCCCCCCATCCCCCGGCCCCGAAACGTCATTATACTCTCTTTGCCAGTAGAAATTAAACTTGGATTTTATTTTATCCAAAATCAAAACTGATTGTTATGCCTAAAGATTAATTTTTATTCAGTGGTACATGACTTAGTGTTTTAGACATCACCATTAGAGAGAGGGAGAGAGAGAGAGAGAGAGAGGGAGAGAGAGAGAGAGAGAGCTCTTTACTGTGGTGCTCTCTAAAAATAGTCAAACCTACTTTTTTGAAAATTAATGAAAGTTATGCTCCCTCAATCCCCCCAAAATGCCCCCTCACATAAATGGGGGAAATGCAGAGTTAGACAACATCCAATTGACTTGTGGGCCTTTTCTATCATCTCACTGTCTGTGAATCTCCAGAAGTGAGAGAAAGGCACGCAGATCTCAGACTAGACACTGGAACTTTTTACTTTCTATGGAGCATCTTGGGCAGCAGTGTCCCACCAAATACTGTACTTTGGATGGTAGTTTGGCATCATGAGGGGTGTGCAATGCTCTTGGTCCCTTAGCACTGTCCCCAAATGCTCTGTGTTTGCAGACTGCCGACTCCACATCTGCTTGTATTACCGGGAAGTCCTGGTGAAAGAGTTGACCACGGCCAGTCCCGAAGGCTGTCGGATCTCCCACGGGCACACCTATGATGCCAGTAACCTGGACCAAGTCCTCTTCCCCTACCCAGAAGACAATGGTCAGAGGAAAAACATCGAGAAACTGCTGAGTCACTTGGAAAGGGGTGTGGTCCTCTGGATGGCCCCTGATGGGCTCTATGCCAAAAGACTGTGCCAGAGCAGGATCTACTGGGACGGGCCCTTGGCATTGTGCAGTGACCGGCCCAACAAACTGGAGAGAGATCAGACCTGCAAGCTGTTTGACACACAGCAGTTCTTATCAGGTAATGCACCTCATTATCGGTTAGAACGCAGCGCCTCAGCCTGTGAGCCACAGAGGGAGAATAAGGTGGTGCTGGCCTGTCTGCCGCAGTGGTCAAAAACAGCAGGCCACTCGCCCAGACAGAGGTCTCCTTCTGTTAATCCTGATCCCAGAAGAGGTTTCTTGTTTAGTTCACATCTCACCTCTCCTTTTACCACCAGCTCCTTTCCATCAGCAGAAGGGTATGAAGAGGAGGGTGATTGCTCAGGGGGATGTGGCACCAGCTGGTGCCCGTATGTGGCACATCTGTGGATATTTCAGCTATTGAAAGTTCGTAGGAAAAATGTAACTGTGAGAAGTATATTGGTGACATTCTTGGTTATGAGATGTGCAGATGGGACCAAGGATAGTGTGTTGAACTGATTTTGAAGGGAAATTATAAGAAGGCTTTGAGCTTCTTCTATATATGTATGTCTCAAATCATATTTTCCAGAACCAGGAAGTTTTGTTTTCCTAGTTTTGATTTCATGACAATTAAGTTAGCTCTGGGCTGGCTTTTGTGAAACTGCTGGCCAAGTTATTTCCGAAGTTTCAACTGAAGTGTTCATGTGGCCATCTATATGGACGCTGCCTCTTTGGGAGGGAGAAAGCTATTGTAACCTGCACTAACTACCAATTCTTTTTCTACCTTGCCCTAACCAACTTTTTTAAAAGTACCCCCTTTGGAAACACCTGTGTCTTCGGGTTTTCTTGTGCCCCTCCTTTCCCTGACCGTTCCTCTTAAGTCAGTCCATTTGCAATAAAAATGTTCTGGCCCATTAACCGTTGCTCAACTTTTTAGGTTTAACTTGCCCAAATTCGCTTAGGCTCATTCAAATTCTCTTTGGGTGCTGAAACTAGTATTTCCCTAGATGACTAACCCTGCCACAGAGGTGTGACAGGAAGAGGGAGCACTGTGTCAGGTTCCCTAAGGCAGCACCTTGGGTGACAAACCACCGGCATCTGAACAACCCTTCCTAACCGAGCTGCAGAATTGTGAGGATTCTCTCTGTCCAGAGCCCAGCATGGTGATCATGGTGGAGTCCTGAGAGTGGGGTCTGAATGTACCCACTGAGTTTGGATCTCCTCCAACACTGTGGATCCTGGTCTCTTTGGATCCAAAAGCTACCATAGGGCTAGGCTTTCATTAAGGCACCCAGGGAAATGGCTCTTCTCTGAGTTTCTCTCATGAGGCACCTTGTAGGAATGTAGAGGCCTCTCATTCTAACGAGGCAGTAAGTTCCTCTTTGAGTCACAGTGAACTGAGAGGTGGATGCAGGCAACAAGTAGCAGGTATGACGTTCCAGCTGTCAGCATCCTCGGCTGCAAATTCACTTGCCTAGAATTTAGTGTTTATCTGTGAGCAAGGATTATTCTGTTTTTTTTCCCTTCTTCCAGAGCTGTGCTTTCTGTCCACAGCAAGCTCTTATCTGGAAGTGTTCACTGAGGTGCAGGGAGGAGCCTATAGTCACAAGCCAAGTAGACCAGCTTCTGCACAATCACAGAGCACCTTCAGGCCAAGGAGGCAGGACTATACCAATGTGCCATCCTAATGAGCTTGTGGAGGCGTAATCTTAGGCCTCTGTGATGTAAATGCCTTTTATACATCCTAAGTTGGTGAGGGTTCATTTGAATTCTGGAAGAAAACAACAAGCAGGAAGTCAGTCCAGTGAGTTAGCTAGAATCTGCTCTTCCGTTGAAGAGAGCAGTGGAAATCTTTGCTATCTACCCATTCAGGATTTGCAGGCTGCCAGGGACAGCCCCAGAGGCACTGCCAGGGTGTGGATCTGATAAAGATGCAAAGGTGCTGTTCTACAGAAGTCTCGGCAGAGACTGTCAGCGCCCTTCTTTGACAGAAGTGACATTTGAGTCTAGCGGAAAGAACAGGAGCAACTAGAGGCATGAGCGTTACCTTGAATGTGGGTGACATGCTCAATGCCAGAGGCTGAACACATCTTTCCAACAGTGTTCTGTTCTCCATTTTGCATCCTTAGGGTAGGCAGAAGGCCCTAGTCTTCATGGCTACCCTTCCCATCTCAGACCATCATCTGTCCCAGAAAGCAGGCAAAAAATCTGCTGTAGTCACACAGTTTGGACCTTGTGCCAAGTGGGATGCCACTGCCCAGAACTGGGCTCAGTCTCCAGGATGGTGACAGACCTTGTCTGTGGTACCCAAGTCACACAGAGTCCCGGGTGACAGACAATGGATTGTATCAGCAGCTTTGAGAGGAGGTTTTTAAGTAATCCTGAAAGTAGTCAGAAAATTCTGATTATTTTAAAAGAAAACTTATTCTTTGTATAAATTATTCTTTTGGCTCCACATGGCTATATTTCTCATCCTTTTTCTTCTCCTTCACTCCTTCTGCTACCTTTTGCATCCCCATGGGTTCAGTACTACAAAGCAAGGTTCTTAACCTCCAAGCCTTATTTCCATGAAGAATCAAGTGAGACCTGCATCCTCTCAGGAAAGCACAAATAGGAACAGGTACATGCAATTTTGCATCTGGGCTAAAAGCCCCTCTTAGAGAAGTGGAGTACTCATTCCTGTTTTAGTCTTAAGAATCAACATGGAGCGTTTGCTGCCTATTTTAACCTGGTGTGCTCAATGATGAGGGTTTCTAAGCATTTTTTTTTTCTTATGGGGTTTCTTCAGAACTGCAAGCATTTGCTCACCATGGCCGTCCGCTGCCAAGATTCCAGGTAACTCTGTGCTTTGGGGAAGAGTTTCCGGATCCCCAAAGACAAAGGAAACTCATTACTGCTCACGTGAGTATTTAGTCACATTTAAATGATTGTTTCCCTACTTTTCACCAAGGACAGGGGTCTATTTAGAGAAGTCTCAAATGAAAAGTAAACAGGGAAGGAGGGCTGTAACCCAGTGAACGTGCAGGAGAGCAGCCTCGAGACTGCATCCTGTTCCCAGTCTTGGAAATCCACTCCTCAAAAAGGAAGCTAACTTCCAACCATTTCATTTGTCTCCTCTTTTTTATTTTTCAAGGAAATTGTCATAGTTCCATTTTATAAGGATTTAAAAGGATTGATGCTAAAAGTTGTCCTTTAAAATTCTTCAGTTTAATATTGCAATCAAAATGCTGTCTGATATTTATTTGATGGAGTTTTCCCCAAATGTGTATTTTGTAGCTCCTTCAAATATTTCCCAAATCCTTTTATTTCTGGATTTTTGTTTTTTAAAAATTATAATTATTAGAAACAAGAGCCAAATGATATTTGGAGGAATACAGGGAGATCAGACCATTGCAATTCCTGAGACTGAATTTAAGATGGGTTCAACTGTGGCAAGTAAACACCTGTTTCATAAAAAAAAAAAAAGAAAAAGAAAAATAGGTTTATATTGATAACATTTAGCATTAATTTGCCACAGAAAAGAGTTTTGAATACCTAGGACTTTTGAATTTGAAAATTTTGCATTGCATTGCTATATACCTTCAAGAGTTATTAATGGGCCCAAATAATTAACAGCGAAGGTAAAAATGATACCAAATAATATAAAAATGCAGGTCATATTTTAGTTCTGATAATGTTTCTCATTAAAAACTGAAATAAAACACTATCCTAATCTTAAACATGCAGACCCCCTTCTTGATTGTAAAATGAAAAACAAAACAACCAATAAACAAAATATAATCCTATGGACTTCAGATGCTTCTCAAGAATCCTCGCCAATGATTGATATAATTACTGATATAATCTTGTAAACAACTGGAATTGTTAAATGATGAACTAAACTGGGATTGATAAATAACATTTAAGAAGTTGGTAACGAACTCCCACATCAACCTGACTCTAAGGGTTTTGGATGCACTAGCTTTCCTATAATTAGGCAAGGAAGGGCTCTCCATGCGAAGACCCCTGAAGTCACCTTGTACCCCGTGGTGCCACCAAGGACTAAGGGGGGCGGGGGGAGGGTGCCCAGGAGTTCCTATTCCTTTTATTATGGATTTAATTTATTTTCGGTTCTTCATATGAGTATGCTTAATTTCTGTATATCAAATAACATAAAGGCTCAATTTAATAGCACCATTGACTGAAAGCACTTGGTGTTTTTAGATGCTGTAAATTTAGGAAAAGCTGAAAATTAAATTTTAATATTGAATGCAATCACACTAATAGACAAATTAGATTAATTTGGGAACAAGTAAATGTTCCCACAATAGCAATTTTGTTGATGATGTTGCTTCTTTTTCTTTTCTCTTTAGTTAAGAAACACAGATGGTCTAGGTCAGTGGTTGGCAAACTGCGGCTTGCGAGGCACATGTGGTTCTTTGGTCCCTTGAGTGTGGCTCTTCCACAAAATACCACGTGCAGGCGCGCATGTGCAGTGCGATTGAAACATCGTGACCCATACGCAGAAGTCTGTATTTTGTGGAAGAGCCACACTTAAGGGGCCAAAGAGCCGCATATGGCTCACGAGCTGCAGTTTGCCAACCTCTGGTCTAGGTCATCCTGGAATTGTAAGACTGTTCAGGATGATCCCCTTCATCCTTGTCATAGTGGCCTAAATTCACTAAATATGACCTCAAATTTCCTTTTAATTTGGTCATTTTACCTGATTTGTTGAAGTTTCAGTTAAATGTAAATTTCTAATGACAGATTATTTAAAAGTATCATCTTTACCTTCAATTGAAACCCATAATTAAGTAGATTCTGTTTGCAGCTTGATGTATGCAAGATGAACAAAAATTGGTTCTTCAGAAGGCCCCAAGTATAAAATTTTTTATGTTATAACACCTAATTTAGACTTAACTTTATTACACTCTTACATATATTGAGTTATTTAATGGTGAGCCAACTACAGGATGTTAAAAAGAATATCTTAGTAATGTCTTCTTCAAACCTTTTTAAAGGTTGAACCTCTACTGGCCAGACAGCTCTATTATTTCGCTCAGCAAAACAGTGGACACTTCCTAAGGGGCTATGATTTACCTGAACACATGAGCAGTCCAGAGGATTATCACAGATCCATTCGCCACTCCTCCATTCAAGAATGAGAAACGTCCAGTGATTCTGCTTCATTATAAATACCTGACTTTGACCGCACAGCTGATTGAACCCCCCTCGTTTTGTTTTGTTTTTGTTTTTTGACGACACTTGAAGAACCTCA